AACACATGTTTTACGTGATGACAAATTAGATCTCGAACAATTTTGTAATATACCACGGTATATAAATATCAGTTGTAATGCGTTAAACTATATCTTTCATTATTAACATATATATTATTATTGTCAACAGATATAATTGATAAAGGCAAAAAAAATATAGCCGAAACGTCTTGACACAATTTAGTTTATATTTATTTCTTGCACAACATCTTGCACGGGCTCTTCATAGTCATTCAATTCAAATTTAATTTTGGAATTTCCAAAGAGAGCCGGAAGTGACACCTCTACATTTCACTGTTTTTTTTTTTTTTTTAGAAGTTTTAAATTACTTTTATTCTGACAGAACGTATTTATCTGCGGCTGTATTTTATTACCCTGTGTTCTTGACTGGTCAATTTTGATCTTTAATGTTTAGTCTAATTGTAAGCATTAATAATTTAATATTAAACAATAAAAACTAATCGATTATTATCGATATTTTTCAGATATAATTGATTTTAAAAAATCGTTATTTTTTTAATTAATTATTTGAATGTCGATACTTTTTTTTAACATTGCCCATCCCTACTACGTACACCTGCGACACTGTGTAACACAATGTCTATTAGTGTGAGAAAGAGCATATCAGTATGTCTCACTCACACTAGTGGACACTGTGTTGCACAGTGTCGCCTGTGTACGTAGCTGAAAAGCTCTTATACCATATATATATGTTGTCGCTAACCTAAGTCAAACTTGCTTTATTTATAATCATCCCTGGGCATTTTCCCGTATTTAGCACTTTAGATCGCGTCTTGAGGTGCGTTCTTATTTCGCGGCGGGGTGCGACTTCACTTTATTGCGACCTGGCGTACCACTCGGTGATCTATGACCTCTGCATGCTCTTGCTTGTGTATCATGGCTACTTTCCCTGTTCTATACGCGCTTTATCGAATGCTTTACGCGGGAATCGGAGAAACTGACTAAACTTTCGGCCATTTATAGTATTTGGTCATTGTAGTGTTGAAGTCGGCGTGTGTCCGCTCAATTTCTTAATTAATTTTGTTTATTTGTTATTATTGTGATGACTTTGAATAAGCTTTCTTACTAATTTTATTTAATCTTTTTCAAAATTTGTCAACCGTATTATTTCGCTACTTCTTTTAATTCTCTCTCTCTCTCTCTTTCGGCCCAACTCTATTAATTTTAATTTTTCTTAGTTGTTTGTTAATCTTATTACGGCTTTTTCCTACTCCCTGCTATTTGGTAAATAATTTTTATATTTCTTTTTGCTCATTACCCGCTTTGTTAAATATTACTTTTAATAAATTGTTATCTTTGCATTTATTTAGATGTGTTTTATGTCGGCTCGTATAACCGGAGAACATCTATACGGATGGTCTACTTTACACCCTGCCCCTCTCCGTTAGGGCCGAGCTAGCCGGCCCATCGCGTTGACCAACACAGTTTTGATACGGAAACGCACCTGGCGTCCGAAATAAAGACATAAGCCTCTTACACAATAGAAGAAATAGCGATAGCGATAGAAAATAACACCAGTTTTAAAGAGTTTATATTTATAATTAACGGTAGGGACAGCGAAATCTAACATACAAAAATACACATGTATCAATGCAGATCAGAAAACGGAATAAGAAATAGCAATAAATTTTCCGACGAGTTCGAATTCTGTGTCTATTGCTTATCGCTATCACTATTCCCTCGCATTGTGCAAGAGGCTATAGGATTAATTAAGTTAACATAGTGGCTTACTCATTTCCCGATTCTCCTTGTTTCTCTTCTGGTAACAATCCCGCAACCTCGCGCGAACTTCGCTCGTTGTCCGAACCGATCGCTCGGGCGGAGCGGCGTGCGATATCGCTCGGAAGAAGCAAAAATTGTTAGTAGATAGAAAATATATTTAACTAAATGTAATTACATAAAAGTTGGAAAACGTTTTGATCTATTGAGCTTTTATTAGTCGCAGAAGTAAATTAAAAACCAACGAGTGAAAAAAATATTTTACAAATTGATAGGAAGTGAGTGTAGTATAACAAAAATTTGTATATAAGACGTGTTCTAATATTAGAATCATCAATGTTCATTGCCCTTATCCACCCGTATGAAAATTATTTTAGGATGTTCACAAAAGTAAGTATTACAAGATTTATATAAATAATTATCAAGCATTTTTTTGTCCATATTCGAAAAAAAGAGTTTTTTGACAAAACACTGTAATGTAAGAATTATGTTGTTTCTAACTTCGGCTTTCATATCGTTGTTATATTTCTTTATGTTGAGCTCGGTGTCTTTGATAAATTTAAGGATCAGTTTGTTTTTCTTCAAATTCATAGGAAGATAATGGTTTTCACCCAATTGTAATAAGTTGAAGACGTAATTCGGAATATTTTATTTGAAATATTTAGAAACCATTTGCTGTTGGTAGCGATTAACGGGTTGACAGGAACAAATGTTTCTCGCGGCGTTTTCTGTAAAAGAAAAGAGAGGGCAAGACAGAGACAGAAATATATAAATACTTCTATTTTCTTTAACACACTAAATATGTATAAATCAAGAACATTTAAGTAAACAATTTGATTATTACTTGATTTGTAGCAATGCACAAAAAGTGTGCACAAATTAAGTATATTGTATTTTAATCAACAAAATGGTATATTTATACTAAGAGTAAGAACATTAATTACGTTACCGTCGATTTGTTTCAATTATTTCATACTGTCGAATTGACAGCAAATGTAATTACATAGATTACATGNCATTCAATTACATATCAAAAAGACTATTTTTATATGTAATTATAATAAAGATTTTTGTGTTTGAGATAAGTAAATATATACAACAAAAGTGTCCAAATAAAGTGGTTTTAATAAATCAAATATCTAGACTATTAAAACTAGTTTAATAATATTGATGTTGTGTCAACAAAATATATTTTAATCAGACCGATGCTGTTGATTCAACATCTTTTTTTTTCCGTGCACGTATAATGAATTCTGCTGGGTTGTCACTCCTTGACGGTTGATACCGTGTGTCCGTGTCCATGTTTTCTTCTTAATGGCGTAATGGCTTGTTACTACATGTCTTTAATGACAGAAATTTTGTAAAATGATGCTAACGCGAATATTTCTACAATCGGCAAGAAAAACACATAACTGTAATACCTCATAATTACGACATTTCAATTTTGGGGCGCGTATTTTTTTTTCTCAAAGATTTTAGAAATATTTCCATTAACAATATACAGGGAATTTCTGTCATTACAGACAACAAATAAGCGCAAAGATAACTAATCGTTAAGTATCCAAAAACCATGACAATCTAAAAATAAAACATAAAAAATGTTTTATCAAAACCTTTTAGAGATATTTTAAGTATTTCTATATTCTTACAAAAGGTGCAACGTCAAAGTGTAAAGAAGCCTCGCTGTTTAGGCGAACTGTATGTATGATGAAAGGATGTAGAAGGTAAGCACAATATGTGAGTTTGCTCAAAGGAATCCAAACTCTGAACGATAACAACTTATTAACAATACCTGTAATAAATAAACAGATGAATGAGTAGTTATTTTGCTTAGCTATTTAGTATACACAAACACACACAGATATTGTTTAGTTATAATTAAGCTAAAAGATGTTGTTGATCTTAGTTTATAATTTATGCTGAATAACAAACATATGTAAAAACTATATATTATCAAATAAAAACCAACCTCCGTTTTTGGTAAGACACGCTATTAAAATCCAAGCTACTCCTATGGCCCACACTGTTCTACTAAATGCCACATATGTAGCACTAGACAAAATAGATATATATCGCTTATAAAGGCCAAATAAAACCAGTATGTTGCAAGTAATTGCTACGCCCCAATATAAAATTACTGTTTTCTGAAATTTGCATTAGATTATAAAGAAATAAATATATACATATAGTAACAACTTTAAAAATAAAATACATAAAATACGATAAACATATAAAAATAAAATAAAAAGAATATTGATGTATATACACTGGTTTGCTTTTTATAACATTCAATTAAATATAGATAACAAATAATTTAACAAAAAATATTTTTCTTAGACAAAAATTATAATATAAAAATAGTTTTTAATAATTTTAATTTAATAAAAACAAATTCACAATAATTAAAAGATTTTGATTAAAGGTATTTATTAGTGATCTAAACTTTCATGCATTTAATTTTAATCTTTAGAAGACCGCAATGGTCACTATAGTGGCCAAAAATATCTAACTATTTAATGTGCATATAAAAATATATAATAAGTATATATGCATATACAGTATCCGTAAAATTTTGACACAGCCAAAGTATAGAAATAGATTAAGTCAAACTGAATAGAAAAGTTATTTGCCATTTTGCAAAATTTGCAATAATTAATGAAATACAAAGTAATAAATATGTGCCAATGAGCGCGTGAGAAGCGATGGTCCTGACTCTGTAGGCGTGTGTAATTGTCAGCTGATCGCGGAGAGCAGTAGCTTCTTATCCCTCGAGCGCTGCTCGCTCTTTTGCGTACTGCCGAATATCGACTGACCGCGAAATCAGCCGAGTCACGCCGCGCTCGTTTGTTCACTCTGCCCAGTGCACGGCAGGGATGCCAGATTCCGGCCGCTTGGTAGCACGCGGTAGCATGGAGGGGATGCGCACACAGCTTCATGTCACGGCTCGAAGCTGTGTGCGCATCCCCTCCATGCTACCGCGTGCTACCAAGCGGCCGGAATCTGGCATCCCTGGTGCACGGTGTAAGATAGTAAGGTGGTCTCTATCCCCACTCCTGTGATTTTAAGTAGGAACTTCAAATATCGTCTGATAGGTGTTCTAGTGAAACACGCGTATTATCGGTGAGATTATATGTATGTAGTAGTACTCACTATTTACACACCGTGGTGATATGTATTACTACTACATGTAAAGATACGTTCTGTTTCATATATGTGTGAATGATCTGTAGTTTACGTAATGCATATAGATAAATGCGCGCATATACATGAAACTGAACGCAGTTAAGATGATTACTACAATACATAAATAGGTATCACACTCAGTGTTAAAAAACATGAAAAAATCAGTTTGCAGACGTTTAGAATAAAAACACGATAATAATTGTTAGAAGTAAAAAACTATTTCTTTAATAATTAATTTGATGTAGTATACTATACAAAGTTATACTATTTTTGCACTTTTTTTATGTATTATACAATTTTGCCCTCTTCTTTTTTTACATACTAATTTATTTATCTTTTCTATTTTTAATCTTTGCATATTGACGCATTCTAACCGTAATATAATAAGGTATAAGAAGAAACTCATACGCCAATTATGTCTCGTGTCTCTTTTTAAACTGTTTTGTAAATGTAAATTAGTCTAAGGCATCAAAAATATTGTCTATAAACTTCTTCATAAACTTTTGTGTTCGGTTGCAGTTACAACGCGATTATACACGTGGAAAACGCGTAACAAAACAAGTAACAAGTATAACTATGTACGTCTTACTGCGGTACGCGTGTCTTACTAGCCCTTCTATTGGAAGATTGTCGAAGTTCCTACTTATCGTCACAGCAATTTTGTAGTGAGGATATATAAGTCGGACCACTTTACTATCTTACACCGTGGCCCAGTGATGAAAGATCTGGCAGGCTAGCACCAAGAGCACCGAGGTGGTGGGGGCACGCACACAAGCAAGAACCACCGTCCGTGTGCGTGACGTAACGCTCCGCTGTTCGGCTCGTGGAAGAGTGCGGACATACTATGTTCCGTCTCCTTTTCACCAAGCTTGCTATGCGAGCAAGCACTGCGGGTAGAAAGCAACGTTTCACGTTGCGCGCTTGCAGCGTATTACAGCGCAAAATGCATTTCCAAGACTGTAAGTCTTGGAAAAAGTACATAATATTATTGATAAGGATGAGCTAAACATCTCAAGATGCATTCATATTATTATATTTACATTAATTCTTAATATAAGTGAACTGTGATAATTTGAAAGTTTTTAAAATATTGAAAAACATGTAATATATAAATAAACTATATTATTAATATTAATAATTTTTTTATATTTTTAATTTGTAAATCACGAAAAAAATCTACATTTTACAGATGCATAATCCTAAAGTATTTAATTCATATAACATATCATATAAATATAATATATTAATTTATTGAATTTTGTATAATATAAATTAAATTTTTTGAGATTATATATGTCTGATGAATGTAGATTCTTGTCATAATTTACATAACAAAAATATATAAAAAAAGAACTTATAACTTTCGATATTTAAAACACTTTTGAATTCTTTTAGTTAGCTCATATGTAATAATAATTAATGTAATTTTAAAAAAAATATAACGCATCTTGAAATGTTTTACTATCATCTATAATATTACAAACTTTTTCCAAGACTAAATTTCGGAAAAAAATATTAATATATAAATATTGTACGTCTTTTAAATACAAATTGTGCGTAAAGAGTGACTTTGTAAAAGAAGCTTTTCTATTACTCTATCAAAAAATAGAGAACTCTATCAAATAGAGAAGCTTCTTTTACAAAATCACTTTTTACGCACAATTTTTATTTAAAAAACGTACAATATTTATATATTAATATTTTTTTCCAAAATTTACAGTCTTGGAAAAATTAATATTATTGATGATAGTAAAACATTTCAAGATGCGTTATATTTTTTTAAAAATTACATTAATTATTATTACATATGAACTAACTGAAAGAATTCAAAAGTGTTTTGAATATTGAAAGTTATTAGTGTTCTTTTTTTATATATTTTTGTTATGTAAATTATGACAAGAATCTACATTCATCAGACATATAATCTCAAAAAATTTAATTTATATTATACGAAATTCAATAAATTAATATATTATATTTATATGTTATGTTATATGAATTAAATACTTTAGGATTATGCATCTGTAAAATGTAGATTTTTTTCGTGATTTACGAATTAAAAATATAAAAAAATTATTAATATTAATAATATAGTTTATTTATATATTACATGTTTTTCAATATTCTAAAAACTTTCAAATTATCACAGTTTACTTATATTAAGAATTAATGTAAATATAATAATATGAATGTATTTTGAGATGTTTAGTTCATCCTTATCAATAATATTATGTACTTTTTCCAAGACTTACAGTCTTGGAAATGCATTTTGCGCTGTAATACGCTGCAAGCGCGCAACGTGAAACGTTGCTTTCTACCCGCAGTGCTTGCTCGCATAGCAAGCTTGGTGAAAAGGAGACGGAACATAGTATGTCCGCACTCTTCCACGAGCCGAACAGCGGAGCGTTACGTCACGCACACGGACGGTGGTTCTTGCTTGTGTGCGTGCCCCCACCACCTCGGTGCTCTTGGTGCTAGCCTGCCAGATCTTTCATCACTGACTCTGTCTCTCGTTGCTCTGACAGTCACACACTTACGCCTACAGAGTCAGGACTATTGCTTCTCACGCCCTCATTGACACACATTTATGACTTTGTATTTTATTAACTATTATTGCGAATTTTGCACAGTGGCAAATAACTTTTCTATTTAGTTTAACTAATTCTATCTCTATACTTTGGCTGTGTCAAAATTTTATGGACACCCTGTATATTAATGTATCTGTTGTTGTGAAGCATGTATCTATATGTGTACTTGATAAAAGTTGACGATGTCATTTGTGTTTATTACATCAAATTAGACGTCAAACTTGGTATGTACATATGTTCTACTTGTAATACTGCATCATGTGCGTAACACCTTGTTTTGAAAATTTTTATATAAAAGAAACATAACTATAAATTCCTATGCACAAAATATAAATTTAGTTATAATTTTATTTTTCCATTCTAAAACAATAAATAGCAAAATAAAAAAATGCAAAAATAAACTATAAAAAAATTAAAACTTACAAAAATAACAAAACAAAAAAAGAGCTACATAACTTGTTACATACATGTCGTTAGTTCTGAAGGAAAGTTAACGCTGAAAGAAAGTTTCACGTATAAATGTAATTGCTGTTACTTATTCAGACTCATTTAGGTTGAAAAACACTGTTCTTATGTAAAATTTTGATAATCTGACATTAGAATCGTAATTAGCAATATCAAAGACCTTTAAAACCACTAAAATTCAAATTTTGAAAACTTTCAACATTGGCCATACCGTTAAGGACCGCTCGGGCCACTATAACGGTCAGCAACAAACTCGGAAACTTTGCGTTACATATAAGTTCTATATATGCATACATTTTTTGTTAAAAAAAGTCAATATTTTAAAAGGAAAATGCCGGCCCTCTAAAGGTTAACCACTTGCGGTGCACAGAAATTCTCGGTTGCGCGTGCCAGAACAATCGAGCGGGAATCACTTCGCGGCGCGTTCAGGCAGCGTTCAGCGGGTGGGTTCAAGAAGAGAATATAGAGAGGCAGAAGGATAAAATTACATCTGTATCAATACTAAATTTATTTATTAATAATCTTGCAGGGTGTGATACNTTTCAAAACAACTTGGAATGTGTAACGCTACAAGACATGTTTTACACTCCCATGTAGTTTCACTCCGTTTTTTATATTTAGCGCATACTACGCACCTCCGTTGTGGATTTTTTTTGGCGTTTGTAGGTAGTATATTTCTTGGGAAATGTCCCCATTGCTTTGCTTGTAAGCGACTCGGAGCATTTCCAGTAGACATCCTTCTACGTCTTTGGTAATCAGGAAGACATACTGTTTCTAAAATCTGTTCGGCTACATCGATTCGAAACTTCGAAAAAGAATACTTTTTACATTTTGGTATTTCCATTTTTTTGCAATATAAAATATATGAATTGAGCAGTGCCATATCTGCTATGTAAAAAAATATTTTTTTATAACTTTTAACGTATTTTCTCATTAATTTAAAAGATGATAAATAACTATCTTGCAGATCGACTCCGCCCATACCGTCATTGTATTCTAAAACGATGTTAGGCTTTGTTGTAAGGCTATTATTATTTTTCCACCTCTTTTTTTCCACTTCGACCATCTCAATTTTTGTATGTTTCGTGGACATTACATATATGTCTTTTTTGTCTTTCCATTTTGCAACCAAAATTCCATTACAGGAGCGCGATATCACGTCAGAACGTTTTAGTTTTGCAGCTGCGAGTTCTTTAGGCATATTCTTCCTATTGCATCTCACCGTTCCTATGGCATTAATTTTTCTAGACTGTAACTTTTGAAATAGGCTTGGCGAAGAATACCAATTGTCCAAAAATAGAGTATGCCCGTAACCAGTTAGTACTGTGGACATAAGCATTGTGACGCTTTCAGAGACACCTGCATTCGCATTTTTGTCTAAATCTTGACCCGTGTAGATTTTGAATTTGATGCAATAACCCGACTTGGATTCACATAACTTATAAAATTTCACTCCAAAACGTGCTCTTTTGGACGGATTATANTGTTTGTACGAGATCCGACCCGTGTATTTCATTAGCGACTCATCTAACGAAATGTATTCCGCGGGAGTGTAAATATTTTGAAATTTCTCATTAAAATAATNGATTACACTCCGCACTTTACATAAACGATCGTCATTATTGTTTACAACTTCGTTATCAGTAAAGTGCAAAAAGCGTGAAATTTGTGCAAATCTCCAATAGGGCATTGTTTTTCGAAATATTGGTGTCTCGATTACGCTTCTTNTAGACCAATATGACTGCACAGTAGATTTTTTGACTTGAGACATCAAAATGCACAAAGCAAAATACGCATGTACTTCATCTATATTGGTGTCCNACCAAATGTCTTCAAAATTTCGTGATTTGCGGTTTTCATTTTGGAGTGTTTGACTGGCGTAACGATTCGTTTCTGTCACAATAATTTTCCAAAAGTCTTCTGCTAATACTTCTCTTGTCATTTCCAAAGCTGTGACATTTTGCCTAACAAGAATATGTATTCTAGATATTCTTGAATATTCCCATACTTGCGTTATATTTTCCGCGTCTTTCCAAATCCATTCCTGGGATGAAACATTCCTTTCTCTATTCTCATTCTGAACATCTTCCTCGTCGTCCGATAGAATTCTACGCCGATTCCGACTTGGAAAAACAATTTGTTCTAAATCACTGTCAGACTCTACATTGTCTTGTCTTCTCCGTTTATTTATAGAAATAACATCACTGGCTTCGCTATCACTTTCCATTTTATAGTCTGTAGTCAATACTGATAACTTTACACGATGAAGAGCAAGCAGAAACTGTGCCTCGGTAAAGAATTTTATTGAACAGTAGACATGCCACGCACGTCATTTATCTTTCTGTAATAATCGCCCAACGACGTGCGTAACACGTCGCTGGCGTTCCGGTAACAAAAGCATGTTGACGTGCGTGGCACGTCTTTGCACCGCAAGTGGTTAAAGTCTTTATCGATATTTGTATTAACAGAATACATGCTTTTAATTTTGTAATCAAACTTATACAAAATGTACACGATATAATATCTTTTTTTCTCACCTTTTTTAAGATTAAATTATTCTTTAACCGTATTGCCAGAAATCCTGTATAAATTCCAATAATATACGGGCCGATTCTGACCCATGATGGAAAGTATATGATGTTCAGCTGTCTCGAAAATTCATCTAGTCTAGAATAATCAAAAAAATCACAGTCACATCCAATAATATATATTTAATGTTATTACTTACGTTGGAATATATTCATAAATATATGAAATGTAACCGGAAAGTAAGATCGATCCAATTAAAAGTGCACCCAGTATAATAATAGTCCAATACATATATCTAAAATTTATAACTTTTATATGTATTCAAATATACTTATATGAAATAAAGATAATTCTATAATAATTTTAAATCAATAACTNATCATCATTTTATAGTTATTTGAATGTACATGAAATGAGGATAACTGTGCAATAATTTCGAATCAATAGGTAATCATCAACTTACACGGTCGACAAAATCAATAAAGCTACGCCAATTATGTAGAATTGCATATCACTCGCCAGATACCAGCTCCAAGTCATACACTGTAACAAAATGTACATAAAGAAATTTTGATTTCCNATTGTGCAATATTAATTAATAAATAATTAGCTATTTAAAGATGTATCAGGCTGATACTCAGTATCAGGCTGCTCTTGGAACCTTGATGAAGTAAGCTGAAATAATCACGAAACGTCGGTATAAAACTGACACTAACGCGGTTCAAACCCGAGAAACATTTTTGAATGTTAATACAACTTACAACGAAAGCATCAAATATCAAATATAGCTAATATACAGAGAGTTACATGCGTTTCCATGCGGTTTCCATACCATTGTATTTATATCATTGTAGTTATTTATGTATAGGATATTCGACCACCAGAATTTGTGACAAACTTTGTGTGGCTGTTCATATGTAGAAAATATAGACATCGTATTATAATAAGAGAAAGTTAGGTTTAATATTATTATCACAATTATATAAGCCGGTGTTAGCCTGAAAATAAGATTTTAGTAAAATTATGAAAGACATACGATTATACAATTTATTGACTCATGAATGAAGTTTGTAACTATTATAAAAAGTTGTATTCTTTTGTATTAAAAAATATTTTAGATCAGTGTGTTTTGCTCATTATCTATACAGGGTGTCTAACAACGAACGACTAAGCCGACGTGTGTAGGTANATCAAGTAAATCGGAACAGAAAAGTTATTTATTATTTTACAAAATTTGTAATAGTTAGTGAGATATGAATTAATAAATGTAAACCAAATGTGAACGTGCGGGGGGCAATGATCAGACTCTATAGGCGTGCACAATTATCAGCTCTACTTCTCGCTCGCCACTTGTTGCGTATCGCCGAATAGCGACCGATCGCAAGAAGCTGAGTTGAACCGCGTTTGTTTGTTTATTCTGCCTCTCGTTGCTAAGACATTGCATAAGAGAAGCCATTTTTCTTTTCAGCTGATAATCGTGAACACTTACAGAGTCTGATCATTGCCCCCCGCGCACTCACATTTATTAATTTATATCTCAATAACTATTGCAAATTTTGCAAAATGGTAAAAAAACTTTTCTGTTCAAATTTATGCAAACTACCTATACACATTGGATCGGTCGTTGGTTGTTATCCTGTATATTACTTTACTATATTTTATTCTCTTGTGGTTTGTCTATTATGAGATAATAATGGAACGCACCGAATATATCTTTTTAGTGTATAGATAACCAATTCTTGTAGCTTTGTCTTGTAATTACTTTTCTGGTTATTTGCATGTCTCTTTAAATACCAATAAGCCAGTAAAAATCCACTTAAGAAATAAAAAGTATCGACAGCTAGAGTCGCATTGGTTATTATTTGTTGAAAAAATCCATCAGAAAATCTCAATACCCGTGGTTTATTATCTGTATACACAACATGATTTTTTTGTTAAGTTTGAAAAATAAGAGAATATAATATTTTATAAATGTTTCTTTTGACTTACCGATATAGTCGCGTACAAACACAATGTTATGCAACATGATTATCCAATTCATTGACCAAAATTTTAACCCATGTATAACCGGTATTGTGTTCGAATTCACTTTTGTGTTAAATATCACTTTTGTATTTTTGATAACAGAAAAACACATAATAATTTTTTTAATTGTGCTTTCCGGATGTAAAGTAGAAGGTGCCATTTCTTTATTTTCTTTCCGTACATTTTGCATATCTACGTATAATTCAAAATAGTTACTACTTATACGATATGTTTATTGTGACATGACTTATACGATATGTTTATTGTGATATACAGAGTGTCCGATAATTACTTGAACGTCTCTTGTAGACAGGTAAAAGAAAGTAAAACTGAGTCAAAAAGTTTTATACCATTTTGCTAGATTCGCAATAGTTATCGAGATTTTAATTAACAAAGATTCACGAATAAGCATGCATCGGGCTGTCTTATGTGTAAGACAGCTCGGCGCGTTTCGCGCGCTCACGGTGTTACCCCGTAGCAACGTATGAGAGAAGCTAATATAACAGCATATACTATAACATATACATAACAAAAGGTAACTGCGCGGAGCGCGCTTATGCGCGTAAGACCGATGCTTGCTTATTTGCAAAATCTTTGTAATTAATTAAGATCTCGGTAACTATTGCAAATCTAGAAAATTGTTATAAGACATTTCGACTCAGTTTTATTCCTTCTACTTGCCTACGAGAGATGTTAAAGTAATTGTCGGACACTCTGTATAACCCATGAGAGATTATACGGCAATTATGAGACACCCTGTATAGAGAGAGAAAATTTAAATCTGCATATACCATCATAAAACTTAACTAAATCGGCAAGTTATGAGTTAAAAAAACTTATATAAAAAGTTTTGCTTTATAACATACTTACTAAAGATATTTTTATTCTGGCTAATAAAGTAGTTTTTATGCACAAATATATCATAGATTGTCCCAATCATTATTACAGAAAAAATAAGCACCAAAACACTAAAAACATAAAATTTATATGCATACGTCCGTTTTTTTCCAAATATTTAAATATATTTAAATTTTGATATATAATATACAATGTATTGTTATCTGTTGTTTTGATATATTCTTCAAAGTACCATATAATAAATATTGCATTAGTAGATGGCCATTGATCATTTTGAAAATCTTTAACTTCGATCAATTTAAAATTCGTGGAAGAGAGACTACCAATTTGAAGAACTTTATCGCGAAATATTTTTTCCAGAATGAAAGAAATATCAGTTATATTACACGACGCTGGTAAACACATCCCAAGCGTAATTTGATTTTAAACCAAAAAAATATTTGCATAATATATATATATATTTTCTTCTATACTTATATGCATTCTTATATGATATAAATAACCTACTTCATACATTGATGATATTTCAATATGATATTGAAGAGTACTATTGTGTGTAACATAAGCAACAAAATAATTGACTAGAAAAGGCGGAAACTCTTTTTCCGGATCACGATACAATGAATTGTTCAATAATCTTTTCTCGGAGATTGTTAAAGGTGCTTTATTCATTGTATCCAAACACTGACTACGGGAACCCAACCAAAAATTATTTCCATAAAGAAAACCTGATGTAGGATTTCCGCTCGAATCTAAAACTTGATAACAAAAACAAAATAGAAAAGAAAGTATTATTTAAAGTTTTTTATTATATACAGATTTATGTAAAGAATATTTTGAAAAGAAAGTGAGAACATAAGACACATGCATATAAAAAACATATCTGACACTAGGTAGTAAAAAATACTCCGCCACAGACTAATATTATTAAGAGGAATAAAAATTATTACTTACTCTTTAAACTCCACAGAATGCGGTGGTCGACGGCGTTTTGAAAATCTTGTAAATCTTTTCTGCATGACGTCAACTTCAATAAATTGGCTCTTTCGGCAATAGCATAAACGGGAAAAATATAACTAATATTATTAGATATAGAAAATGGTCGAGAAGCACACAGTATCACGCTAAAATTTATGCAGGTACAAATAATAACTGCAAGCTGCCACTGCGATAATATAAAGCAGCTAGTAAATTTTCGCACCATCTGCAAATTATAAACAACAATTTTGATGAGAAAGTAAAAAAACGCTAAGTAATATTGTAACTTGAATTGCTATTTCTCTCAATCAAATAAAACATTACCTACCGTTATAGAAAAAGTGATAGAGACGAACCGTCAACAAATAACCTTGAGCGATTACTTCTGCATAAAAAACAATTTTAATAATTTGACGTATGAGTTTCTTGACCTTTTTTTTGAAAAATCTGAAATATCAACATTTTGTAAGTAACAATATATTTTAATCACAATTAGCTAGCTCATATTTTCAATATTTGATTTAATTTACTGAATCACATTACTATAGTTTTAAAACAGCAGTGGTTAACATGAATAATGTACCGTGTTTGTGTGTGTGTGTGTGTGTGACAGAAAGAAAGAGAGAATGTGCGAGAGAGAGAGAGAGAAAGAAAGAGAGAGGGAGAGAAAGAGAACATAAAGGTGTAATTTTTGTAAAATTGATTGAGACCAAAAAAAAGATTGATTCAGCAAATCGTCATTTCCTACGTATAATCCCGTAACTTCAAAACGCAAATTTTAGAGAAGAGCAGTTTAAAAGTTTAAAGATTTATATAGTTTCCCTAGTTAAGGAATCTTTTGGTTTTAAATTTTTACTGTACATATGAATTTTTTTTTTTAATATTTGGTGACCAAAATAAGAACATGACTTTCTAAGTATCACTATGCAATAAACTGAAAATTTATGATGTCACACTTATGTAATTATACATAGGGAGTGACAAAATGGTAATGAAGCTGAAGGTATTTTGGAGAGCCGGGGTGTCATTCCCCTGAACCGTCGAAATGCAGGGTTGCGCGACCAATTTTAAAAACACTACATTTACAGATTTCTAAACACCTAAAATTGTTTAAGAATAAAGAATGAAGGTCAAGTCAAGCTCAAATAAATGTAATATATTTGTATTATGTCAACAATTCAAAACGTAAGATAATACATAAGCAAAACAATTCAAATTCTCACAGGAGTCATCTCCAGTCGCGATAAGATAAAATGTATAAAAAGCTGTCAAAATAACAAGAGATTTAACAATTAATATAAAAGTATTCGGATATTAAATAAAGATATATTGTTCCGGACGTAAATCCAGCGGAGCGCATTCATATCTCGTGTAAAAATTGTTGAGAGGTCAAAATTGAACAGTAGCTAAATTCATGTAGACCAGAGTAAATAAATCAGATCCTACATAATTAAGATACAAAATACACACAACGGATTTTGTGGATGCTTGAACATCCTGCTGGACGTTTTAATTAGAACTATTTTTCTTGGAAACAGTACTGAGAACAATAAAGCGTCTCCGGAGTAAGCATCCGTAGCTTTCTGATTAAAACTATGCGCTATTCTTAGTGTGCGTCTTGCATTTGCAAGATCAGCCGCAACTTCCATATGCAACTCTATATAAAACTTCTCGCGACTTCTAGCGTCGTTGACGCTTCCGCTGCAACCGTCTGGCACGCGTTGCGGTTTTCCTTATAATAAATATATATATTGTCATGCGTCTAACAGTCTTTTATTATTTGCAAATACTACATATATTGTTGGTATTTATTTTGTAAACATATTGCGATCGTCGCGCCTCTCCCTCTTCTTTGATCACCACCACGCGGCAATCGCGGCGACTAATCGATCGACGATTCAACGACCATTTAAAACGATTGTGGGATCGCAGCGACAAGCGTAGCGCGCGTTTCAAACGGCAACAACACGCGTTTCGTTAAACAACCGTTTCCGATACGGGTGTCAAACGTCGGAAAACGAACGCGACGATCAAACGGGGAGAAAAA